TTATACCTATCTATAAAGAGAAAGGAAATATCCAGGATTGTTGCAATTACAGGGGGATCAAATCAACGTCTCATACCATGAAAATATAGGAGGGGATAAATAAGGAAGTAAGAAAGTAGGATAAGAAAGGAAATCGTCATAGGTGATAAGCAGTTTGGGTTTATGCCGGGAAAAGAATGCAGTGTTTGTGCTAAGGCATTTGATGGAAAGGCATAGGGAAATGAGGTAAGGCCTGCACATGTCTTTTTTAAAAATCTAGAGAAGGCCTATGATAGAGTGCCAAGGCAGGAGGTCTGGAGATGCATGAGAAGGAAGGGAGTGCCAGAAAAATGTTCGGATCATCCAGGACATGTATGAAGGAGCAAGAACTCGGGTGAGAACCAGTGTTGGCACAACAGGATGAATCTCAGTTAGAGTTGGCCTACACCAGGGGTCCTCTTTAAGCCCTTATCTGTTCGACCTCCTTATGGATGTATTGGCGGAAGGGGTAAAAGAACAGACTCCTTGGTGCATGATGATTGCAGACGACATTTTTATTGCCAGTACCAGTAAAGAGGAGATCGGATGTAAATTAGATAAATGGAAAAGGGCTTTAGAGGATAGAGGCTTAAAAGTCAGCAAGGAGAAGATAGAATATCTAGATTTCTGTGAGGAAGAAGGAGAAATGAGAATGCAAGGCGAAGTACTGAAGAGAGCTGAAAAGTTTAAGTACCTTGGGTCAGTGGTATCCAAGGATGCAGAGATGGAATCGGAAGTTACACATGGAGTACAGGCAGGTTGGATGAATTGGAAAAAGATGTCTGGTGTTTTGTGCAACAAAAAGATAAATGGGAGTGTTATAGGCAAATTATACAAAACAACTGATTGGCCGGCTATGATTTATGGTGCAGAGACTTGGCCAACGAAAAAGGAGGTGAAGATGCTGAAGTGGATGCGTGGAGTAACAAAACTAGATAACATTAGGAACTTAAAGATTAGAGGGACAGTGAAGGTTGAAAAGTTTTTAAAGAAAGTACAGGAAAGAAGATTACAGTGGTACAGACACATAATGAGAAGAGAAGGAGATTATGTTGGCAGAAGGGTAATGGAATTGGAGGTGGATGGAAGACGGGGTAGAGGCCGAAAAGAAGATGGATGGAAAATATAACGAGCGATTTAAAAGAAAAGAACTTGCCAGGAAGCGAGTGGAGGGACTGGGCTGAGTGGAGGAGGCTGGAAAAAATGCCGACCCCACATAGAAGCGGGAAAAGGCAAAGAGAAAGATGAGTGCGGTAGAGCATCATTCCATCTTTCATTGCATACACCTCAGGATTTCTGATTTCTGATTTGATCTGCTCTATCAGTACCTACCGAGTGCCCACGGGGAGTGTGTGTAAAACCGCTATCCTTACTCACGTATGAGTAGGTAGGTAATGTCTATGGAAGCTAGATAGCTCCTAGTTGCACACTGCCCCCGTGGGTCATGTAGCAGTGGTAGAGAGTCCGTCTTGGAATCACCTGCCTGCAACGGCGATGGTTCGAGTCCCTATCGGAGAGGTTATTTATTCATTATATCAGTGCAGTAGTGCATTATTCCATCTTTCATATATATATATATATATATATATATATATATATATATATAATATATATATATATATATATATATGTGTGTGTGTGTGTGTGTGTGTGTGTGTGTGTGTGTGTGTGTGTGTGTGTGTGTGTGTTGTGGGTGTGTGGGTGTGTTGTGTGTGTGTGTGTGTGTGTGTGTGTGTGTGTGTGTGTGTGTGTGTGTGTGTGTGTGGTGTGTGTGTGTGTGTGTGTGTGTACATATCAATGTGTGTGTATACGTATATTTATATATATGTATATGTATATATATATATATATATATATATATATATATATATATATATATATATATATATATATATATATATATATATATATGCATCATCTAACGAGTCCGTTTCGCAACCCTCGTCGTTTCTATATTATTGAATGCAATGGTTTCATTACTGAATTATCATATTTCTATAACCTGCTCTTAGAGAGATTCTTGGTATTCATGTCTTTTGTTAGACAGCAAAAAAGGTTGGTGTGCATAGAGGATAATGATATCATTGATTTGATTCGTATGAATTTCTTAGATTGTATAAATAAATATAATCATAAATACATAGAAGGGGGAGATACAAATATCATATATATAGATAGTTAAATAGAGAGATAAATAGATAGTCCATCTAGTATACATTCGAAAAAGAGAAAGGATCGCACGAAATTCATTTGGACGGCGAAGATTGTGCAAGCTTGAGAGTTTCCCTGGCGCCCACCACCAGCTTTGTAGTCTTGTGTCCGCCGCTCGTGATAAGGCAATTGTACAGCGATGTAATGTAATGGCTGCACATGTGTCAGAGTGGAAGAGCGTACTCTGCTTAACAAAATATAATCACGTTATTTGCAGAATATATGGCCTCTGAAACGACTGACATCCCTTTAGCCAAGACATCTTAATATTTTTATGGGACATGAGAAGACACTTATCGCATAGATATGCTTGTGAACATTAAATGAAATATGAACGTTTGGATATAACGATTGAATACGTAGACAGGTAGCGGTCCCAAGATGCGATTAGAAAACCATCCCTTGACCTAGCCTGACCTAGCCGTAGGGTGCTGAGCGTTGGTTTCCTAATCTGTGCACAGGTCTTCCACGGACTCTCCCTCGGGAAGTTCTGCGTGTAAGGGAACTCGTTTGTGGAATTACCTCCTCCTCTTCCTCTTCTCCTCCACTTCTCCTCTTCTTCATCTTCATCTTCCTCGTCACTTTCTTCACTGCTGCTATCGTCGCCCTCCCCGCGTCGAGACAGGATGGAGAAACCTGGAACCCGGGTGGTCGAGCTCCGTGAGGTAGCCCGAGACTTGGTCAGTAAGCTGAGTAGGCTCCAGGTCCGACAGTTTTCCAACGCCTGGCACCGAGGAAGGAGGCAGTCTCAGGCTGCCAAAAGCATCTTCTTCACTTTCAGCAGCGATGTATGGCAAGAAAAGGCGAAGGTCTTCATCCTCATCGCTATCCTTTTGTTGATTAAAGGCGCCGTATGTTGTTGGAATTCGGCGATTCTGTTTGCCCTTCAGAAGGATGAAAACTGGGAGGTTAGTTTCCTCATCACTGTCTCCCTCCTCTTCCTCATGGCCTTCCGTCCTCACGAACAAGGCCTGCCCCTCGGCGGAAGAGTGGCTTGAGAAGTGGCCCCTTGGTGGGAAGCTGACCTTCGATTCCTCAGAGTCGTCCTCCTGAACCGGTGCGCCGTAAACTCGACTTGGTGGTCTGTGCGTTGAAGTCTCTTCGTCAGAGTCCTCAGACTGCTTGGAAGGAACTCCATAGACTCGACTTACAGGCCTCTCAGTCTCTGGAGCCAGATACGTTTGAGTTATAGGTCTGTGGGTTGTTGATGGAGCAACGTAGAGCTGACTCACTGGTCTAGGGGTTGACGGTGCGCGGTATAGCTGACTTACAGGTCTCGAAGTGGTCGATGGCGCACTGTACAACTGTCTCACAGGCTTTGGTGTTGTTGATGGTGCACCATAAAACTGACTAGGAGGTCTGTGTGTTGTTGTTGGTCTGGGAGTTGTTGATGGCGCACCATAAAACTGACTTGGTGGTCTGTGGGTTGTTGAAGGTGCATTATAGAATGAACTCGGTGTACGGGTTGTTGATGGCCTGCGAGTTGTTGATGGCGCACCATATAGCTGACTCGGTGGACTCTGGGTTGTTGATGGCGCGCCATATAACTGACTTGGTGGTCTCTGGGTTGTTGAAGGTGTTGTGTTGATGATGGCGCACCATATATGACTTATTGTAAAATGAGCTTGGTGGTCTCTGAGGCCTGCGAGTTGTTGGCGCACCATAAAACTGACTTGGTGGACTCTGGGTTGTTGAAGGTGCATTGTAAAATGGGCGTGGTGTACGGGTTTTGATGGCCTGCGAGTTGTTGGCGCACCATAAAACTGACTTTGTGGTCTCTGGGTTGTTGAAGGTGCATTGTAAAATGGGCTTGGTGGTGTACGGGTTGTTGATGGCCTGTGAGTTGTTGGCGCACCATAAAACTGACTTGGTGGACCTGGTTGTTGAAGGTGCATTGTAAAATGGGCTTGGTGGTGTACGGGTTGTTGATGGCCTGCGAGTTGTTGGCGCACCATAAAAAACTTGGTGGACTCTGGGTTGTTGAAGGTGCATTGTAAAATGGGCTTGGTGGTTTGTTGAATTGCATTGTAAATGGCCTGCTTAAAACTGGTGGACTCTGAAGGTGCTGGTCTCTGGGTGTTGACGGCCTGCGAGTTGTTGGCGCACCATAAAATTGACTAGGGGGTTTCTGAGTGGTTGAGGGCGCACTGTACAACTGAGTCACGGGCCTGTGAGTGAAAGTCTCCTCAGAATCTTCCTCTGAACTTTCATCTTCTGGTGCTGAATAGAACTGCTTGACACGGCGCTGACTCCCGTGCTTTCGTTGACTGCTCGAAATGCGGTCCAAAGTGCTGCTGATGCCACTCGAGAAGTCATGGGTGCGGACAGTGAAGTGCGACAGGGGACTACTTGCTCCTCCATGAGTTGTACTCAAGGTCCTGGACGTATCTTCATCAGAATCATCCCTGAAAGTGCGGAAGGTTTGTGGTTCAGGTGGAATTCAGTTTATAACAAATATATTTGTGCGATACTGCAAATGCTACAATATAGTTCAGGTGTTTAGGTACTGCATTTTATCGTTCCCTTAATCATAAACATTTGAATATGTTTGGATGTCAGCCTGCAGTTTTTTTTTTTTTTTTTTTTTTTCATTGCATGCAGATAAGTAGAGTATTTGAGGTTTTTGTTTGTATTGTATGTATGAATTTCTGTGTATAAAAAGGCTTGTAGATGCAGATATGAAAGGATGGACAACAAATTAATCATCATATGATGTCTTAACTTCTGATTGACATGTGGCTGGATATATATCTATTTTTCACTTCAAAATA